TCCAAACGTATCTCCACGAGCCGATATTGTCGCTGCTTTGCGTGCGCCTTGCAGTTCGCGGCCAGCCTCTTCCAGGTCTTGCTCAGGAGCGCGTGCTTCTCGTACCGCTGCAGGCTCTTGCCCGTCTCCCAGCCCCCACGGCGCATGATCGAGGCCATGTCCCGCGCGCCGTTCAGCCGATCGTGAGAAGCTCCCGAGTGCCTCGCCTGGTAGGGCACCGCGTCGATCTTGAGGCGGTTCACCACCGCCTTGAACGAGCGGGCGAGCTCGGGATAGCTGAACCGCCAGAGAGGCTCCCCAGCGGTCCTCGTCTTGAGGGCGTCCAGCAGCGGGCGCAGTGACTCCCAGATAGAGCGGTCCAGCATGCAGCTCTGGTCGAACTCGTTCACCTTGTTGGCCACGCCCCCCTAGTACGGGTTCAGGGTGACCCCCCAATTGTCCGTCGCGGATTTCGGGGCCACGAGGTCGTCGGGCCGCATCGCCAGCAGGCTCCCAGGTCGACAGTAGGTGCTCCACATCAACGACACCGCCAGCCCCATCTCGAGCTCCCCGTCGCGCACGAGCCCGTTCACTATGACGGCCCAGACGGCGAAGGCCTTCCGAGGAAGACCCTGGTTCCCCACCTTGCCGAACTGCGGCCGCACGTGGAGGACCGAGGCAATCGCCTTCATGCCCCTTCGACGCCCCCCCCCCTCCCCCCCTTTCAGCCACAGCTCCTCGAAGTACGCGACCAGCAGCGCGTCGAGCCGATCGCTGTCGACGTCCTGGACCTTGTCCACCTCGGCCCACTTCGCGAACGACTTGAGCTCCTTCACGCACGACTTCTCGGTGCGCACACTCACAGCGCGCTGCTCCAGCCCGCGCAGCCCGCGCAGTTGCTTGTCCCTCTCCATCAGCTTCTGCAGCCACTTCTTGAGGCGCCGCTGGCCGCGGCGCTCGAGCTTTCGGGCGCGCTCGGCGCGCTCGCCCTCGGACTCGCTCGAAGCGGAGTCCGACGGCACAGCGCGCTTCTGGCCCGAGGCGCCGGCGACGCCTCTTAGGATGCCGCGGGAGTCCGCTGCCTGATCCACCAGCGACGGCGTCGCCCGAGAGCCCAGCGCCGGGACCGCCGCCATCGACCGAGCCAGCGCGCGCACCCTCCGAGGCTGCGATGGGGCCTCCATCGGCAGCGGGCTGAATGGGCAGTCCGTGAAAATCAGACAGCCGTGTAATACGTATTTCTGGAATGGCAGGCCAAGCTTGAGCCAAATTGGCTACGGACGGATGACTAGACCGAAGCGCTTGTTTATCTCCAAGTCCACCCCGCGCTGGCAAGAGCTTCGCGAACATCGCGGCTCCGGGAACTCCAGGGGGGTCTTCCCGAGGCCAAACGAAATCGGATAATCTCAAAACACGTCGGTGGGGTGCGATGCGAGGACTGGGGGCGGGACCCCCCCCCCCCTCCATGCCACTCATCGAATTAGGTGCTCTCGAAATACTACTCACACGACCCCCTTCGCAGAGATCGTGGGGCGCTGGAAAAAAAGACCCCACCAGGGCTCACCTAGGGCCCTTTCGCGGTTCCCTGGGACGGCGGAACACAGAAGAGCCGAGAGGGCCAGTCCGCAGGATTTCGCTCCGAGGGTACCCACCTCACGGTGAGACGAACATTCCTGACGAGGCAAAGACACGCAAGCTTCCTAAGGATCAGAAGTAGCATATAGTTCCTGGTTCGATATCTGTCACAGCACAGCACGAGGGCAATATTGTCACAAAACAACAGCTGTCTCATGTTGCAGCCAGGCCGAGGGAGGATGATGCGCTCAGCCCCCACAATGAGAGCACGGGCCTCGAGGAGAGAATGTGTTCCTCGAAGTTGAAGGGCCACCCTCCACAGACGTGCCAGGCGTCCTCAGCCAAATCTGCAGCCGAGATTTCTTTGAACTCGGCTGAGGCCTCAAGCCCCGGAGCTCCAACCGCTCCCAGGGTCTCGAGGCTGTCTCGGTGCAAAAGTGAACAAGATTCGAGCAGGGCGGCGTCGCGGGCACGGACATGGTCAGGGTGCCTGAAACGCTCGCGCTCACGCACTCGCCCGCAGCGAGAGGCACTGTCAGGCCCCAGCGCGCGAAGACACACGCCGAAGCCCTCCTCACAGGCGTCGGTGGCGCACACGACACCGTTCCACTGCAGCTCCCACGAGGCCACCGGCGTCACCATGAGCCCCAGGAAGCACTCCAGCTCGCGCCGAACGCTTGGCCAGAGCTCGACAGGCGTGTAATAGCTACTCTGCGTGAAGCTGTATACGGCGCTGAAGCACGTAAGGCTCTCCCTAAGGATCAGCCCCGCGAAGGTGCAGTGTCCGATCGCGATCTCGACGGCCTGGCCACTCACCCGCTACGCCGCAAGAGACCACGGATGCCTTGCCGAAACCGCCAGAACCGTTTGCTGCTGAGACGGGTGTGACGCCGACTGGCGTCCAAGGTAACCCCGAACGCCTCGATCTCGCCCTCAGTGATCTCCAGCTCGTGCGTCTTGAGCCCTCTGGACTCGAAGTTACTCACCAAGCGGTCCACGGTCTCCTCGGCGGTCTTCCGCCCACCGCCGGAGACGCCAACGTTGTCCACGTACACGTAGTGCCGCAATCGGGCGCCGCCTCGGAGGCAGCGGAGCAGCAGAGGACGCCCGTGGTCCACCAGGAGCTCAGACCAACCAAAATAATATATATATATATATATATATATATATATATATATATCAGATGATGCTCTGGGTCCGAACATTCCAAAGAACCTTCCAAAAACCGTCCTCACGAAGAGTCCGGGATTCCTGGAACCTTCCAACAAAACCTTCCAACAAAAACTCCTCACGAAGAATCCGGGATTCCTGGAACCTTCCCACAAAAAATCCAAACCCCCCCCTCACGAAGAATCCGGGACTCCTGGAACCTTCCAAAGAACCTTCCAAAAACCCCCCTCACGAAGAATCCAAGATTCCTGGAACCTTCCAAAAAGCCTTCCCAAAACCCTCCTCACGAATAACCCAGATTCCTGGAATCTTCCAAAAACCTTCCTAACATCTCAGGAAGGTTTCAGGAGGGGTTGGCCGAACTGCCGCACCCAACTGATGATGATGATGATGATGATGATGATGGTGATGATGATGATGATGATGATGATGATAGTGATAGTGATGATGATGTTGATGATGATGATGATGATGATGATGACGATGACGATGACGATGACGATGACGATGACGATGACGATGATGATGATGATGATGATGATGATGATGATGATGATGATGATGATGATGATGATGATGATCCGCCACCCTGGGCACGGAGTGGGCGTGTCCTCAAGTCCTTTGCCTAATCCCTGGAGCCTCAACCCTCAGCTCTGAGGAGCCTGGAAGGGACCTGGACCTTAAAAGAAATCTGGCGGGGCTCCCTGCGTGCCCCGTGGGCTCCGGCGCCCAAGAGGGACTGACGACGGGCCAAGAGGGCCTCAAGAGGCATCGAGGACGGTCCAAGAGGGCCCCGAGTTGCCGAACGATCGCTTCAAGACGCCCAGAATGGCCCCCAGACGGCCCATGAGGCCTCTACGAGGCCCCAAGAAGCATCCAAAAGGCCTCCCAGAAGGGTCCCAAGAGGCAAAAATCATTGATGTCCCGTGAGTTTTTGAAAGGGTTTTGTCTTTCTCGGCTTTTCAGCTTCCCGACGCTCCAAGACGTCTCAAGAGGTCCCCAAGATCGCCCCAAAACGGCCCAAGAGGCACCCAAGACGGCCCAGAGGGTCTCAAGACGGCCCCGAAAGGAGCCCAAGCGAGAGAGAACACGAACCGAAAATCCAAGCCTTCCGCCCTAAGAGGCCGCCAGGACACCCCCAGAGGCGCCCAGGAGGCCCCCAGAGCCCCCCAAGAGGCCGCCAAGAGGCCCCAAGAGGCACCCAAGAGGCCCCAAAAAGGTCCCAAGAGGGCCCAACAAGTTTAAACATTGCCTCCAAGAGGCCCCGGCGAGGCCTCCCTCGAGATTCCAACGAACATCCAATAGGCTCCATATCCACAGCCCAGCCACGGTGGCGGTATGGGCCGAGGGCCATATGATGATGCTGCTGATGATAATGATGATGATGATGATGATGATGATGATGATGATGATGATGATGATGAGGATCATGATGATGGTGATGATGATGGTGATGATGATGCTGATGATGGTGATTGTGATTGTGACGATGATGATGGCGATTGTGATGATGAGTATGATGGTATTAGTGGTGATGCTAATGATGATCCTGATGATAAGGATGCGGATGAGGATGCTGATGTTGATATTGATGATGGTGCTGATGATTGTTATGATCATTGTTATCACTCATACGACTGCTATCACGATGGCAATTATCAAAACAGTAGTTATCAACAGATGTATGATCATTAGTGTTGAAAGTGTTACGATGAGTATGATCACTATGTTGGTGCTGATGCGGATGTGCATGTGAACGTGGCTGTAGATGCAGATGTGGATGTGGATGCGAATGATGATGATGATGCTGATGATAATGAGATGCTGATGATTATGGTGGTGATGTCAATGACGATGACGATGATGATAATGCTGATGCTGCTAATACTGATGACGATGATGACGGTGACGATGATGCAGATGATGATGATCATGATGATGATGATGATGATGATGATGATGATGCTGATGAGAACGATGATGATGATGATGCTGCTGATGATGATGGTGACGATGATGGTGGATATGAAAATGGAATGGAAGGAATGATGATGCTGCTGCTGCTGATGATGATGATGATGATGATGATGTTGACTGCGAGGCGGACGATGATGATAATGATGCTGATGATGCTGCTGATGATGATGCCGGTGATGATGATGGCGGTGATGATGGTGGTGATGGTGGTGATGGTGGTGGTGAGGATGATGTTGATGATTCTGATGATGAGGAGGACGAGGAGGAGGATGAGAGACATGACGAAGACGAGAAAAAGCCTCCGCCAAGATGGTGCCCTTCTTGTTCCGCGCCGTGAACCAACCCTGGGCCTTGCGGTGGGCAGCAGACCAGGCTCGCGTCCCCTCGCCCTCCCGTCTCCCCTCCAACTTCCCCTCCCTACCCCCCCTCTCGGGCGCGCGGCGGCCGAGTCGACCGCGCGGCCCCTCGATCTCGAGTCCTTGAGTCCACCTTCCCTTCTCCCCGCGTTTCCTCTCCTCCGCTACCCCTTTTCCTCCCCTGCCCTCCTTTCCCCTCCCCCTCCGCCCCCAGATTTACCTCGGCAGCGTGTGACACGCTTCCTCCTCCTGCTCCTCCTGCTCCTCCTCCTCCTCCTCCTCCTGCTCCTCCTCCTCCTCCTCCTCCCACTCCTCCTTTTCCTGCTCCCTCCTTTCCCTTCCTCCGCTGCTGCTGCCGCTCCTCTCCGCGCCCCCCTCGCCAGTCCCGCCACTGACTCATCCAGCTCTTCCTCCCGCTCCTCCAGACCTTTTCCTTATGACTCCTCGCTGTCGCACCCCCAGACGTGTCGGTACGGCGGGCTGGGCGTTTCGCCTGAGACTTCCTCACCGCTTATGATCCCGAAACTGGAAAGACTTGACAACTGTAGAAATTTCAATGATGGAGGACGGGCTTTTCTTCCCGGAAACAGCGCTGGACCAAGGTTCTCCTTTAATAATGTAAAACTGCCCCCCCCGGTGCCATGTTGAGGTGGGCCGGGGAATTTCCGTCTGATAAAGAATGCCATGAAATCGCATTCGGCGTGGAAAAAATGCGTTTCGCGCGTACGGATCCTCGTTGCCTAACGGGGTCCGCAGACCCTTGTTTTCCCTAGCGAAAAACGGGGTGCGGAGCGTTTTGCGAAGAATCCCAACTAAATCATGAGATTCGGAGACCCTGGAACTTTACCAAAAACATGGAACAGTTGACTTTTTCCCGGAAAAGGCTTCAGGCCCAGGGTTCTCTTTTAGTAGGTTTACCCTCGGTTTTGACGGGAAGAAAGCCGGCGGATTTCTTTGGCGATCAATAACGAGTGGGAAGAGGACCGGCGAATTAAAATTTCAGGATTTCCTTAGCGAAACGCTTGATTTTCAGAATTTGTTGAGGATGTCTCGAGCGAAACGCTTGTTTTGTGTTATAGATCGTCCTCTCCTGGGGACCAGAATTGAAAGGATCTCTCAAGTGAAATCAGCGTAACGGCCAAGCGGGCGGAAAAAACCATTGCGCTACTCAGCGCCACTCCGCACCAGTCAGCACCGCCCTGCACCACTCAGCGCCGCTCAACGCCACCCAGCACTACTCCTGGGAGCCACTCGACGCCACCCAGCGCCACTCGGCACCATTCAACGCCACTTGGCGCCACTCAGCGCCACTCGGCGCCACTCAGCGCCACTCGGCGCCACTCAGCGCTACTCGGCGCCACTCTGCGCCACCCGACGCCGCTCAGCGCCGCCGAGGAGGGCGAGGAGGACGAGGAGAAGGAGCAGGAGGAGGACATGGAGGGGGAGGGCGCCCCTGACGGTGTAGAGCGTGGATGGGGAGAGGGGGGTCGCACGGACCGCTCCTAACGGGGCAGAGTAGAACGCGGGGGGTAGAGGGGGAAGAGGCGGAGGAGGAAGCAAAAGCAAGAGAAGGAGAAAAGCTCGAGGAGAAACCATAATGAAAAACGTTACTCCGAGAAAGCAGGGCGCGCAACACACATCCGTGAAATGCGAGCCATTTCCCGTGGGATCTGCTTTCCTGTATAAATGGAAAGCGTGCTTTTTTTTTCCGTTAACTTCGATAGAAACCCATCCCTGTGGAATCCTTCCCCCCCTCGCCCTCGTTGGCATTTCCTCCTCCTCGGGGCCTTCCCTCTCCCCGCCATCGCTGGGGCCGCCCCTCGCGGGGTAGAGCGCGGTGGGGAGAGGGGGATAAGAGGCGGAGGAGGAAGCAAAAGCAAGAGAAGGAGAAAAGCTCGAGGAGAAACCTTAATGAAAAAACGTTACTCCGAGAAAGCAGGGCGCGCAACAAACATCCGCGAAATGCGAGCCATGTCCCGTGGAATCTGCTTTCCTTGATAAATGAAAAGCGTGCTTTTTCAATAAACTTCGATGGAAACCCATCCCTGTGGACTCCTTCCTCCCCTCGCCCTCCCTGGCATTTCCTTCTCCTCGGGGCCCCCCTCGGCATTTCCTTCCCCTCGGGGCCTCCTCGGGGGAGAGGCGGAGGAGGAAGCAAAAGCAAAAGAAAGGGAAGAGCTCAAGGAGAAACCTGTATAGAAAATATCACCCCGAGAGAGCAGGGGCGCTCAGCAAACGTCCGTAGAATGCGAGCCATTGCCCGTGGGATCTGCTTTCCTTTAGAAAAAATCTGCGCTGGTCAGTAAATTCCGATAGAAACCCACCCCTGTGGCATGGAGGAGAAGAGGAATGCGAGGGGGCCCGAACGCCCAACATGTTGAACAACCTGCTGCGACACGTGCAAAACATCAGATCCCACGGAAAGTCCCCCAGAAACAAGGCGGGTGCGTCGTCGTCCTTCCTCCCCTCGCCCTCCTTGGCGTTTCCTCCTCCTCGGGGCCTCACCTCCCCCCGCTATCGCCGGGGCCGCTCCTCGCGGGGTAGAGCGTGGATGGGGGGGGGGGGGGGCGAGGTAGAGGAAGCAAACGCATGAGAAAGGGAAGAGCTCAAGGGAAAACCTGAATAGAAATTATCACCCCGAGAGAGCAGGGGCGCTCAGCAAACTCTGTCAAATGCGAATCATTTCCCGTGGGATCTGTTTTCCTTTACAGCACAAGCGCGCTTTTCAATCGACTCCGATAGGAACCCACCCCTCTGGCATGGAGAAGAAGAGGAATGCGAGGGGACCCGAACGCCCAAAATATTGAACAACTTGCTGCGACACGTGCAAAACATCTGATCCCACGGAAAGTCCCCTAGAAACAAGGCGGGTGCGTCGATTTCGCTCTCCCCATCATCGCCCTCCTCAGCGTTCCCTTCTCCTCGGGGCCTTCCCTCTCCCCGCTGCCGCCAGGGCCGCCCCTCCCGTCTCCTCTCGCCCTCCCCCTCTTCGCCACTTCGTTTTTTGGGGTTCTGCCTCTCCTGAGCGGTCCAATCGCAAATGCCGCGCGCGGCCGTGGCCGCGGCGGCGGCACCGCGCGCGGCCTCCGCGATAACGGACGCGCGCAACGAAAATGCAACGGGGACCGCGCAGCACGAACACAATAATGACAGCGTTGCTCAATCAGGGAAGCACCTTGGCAACCGACAGCAACGCCGCGAAGTGAAAGTCTGCAGCGCGGGGTAGCCTATCCCCCTCCGCACCTCCGGGCGCCTTGCCGAACAGCGCGGCGCGCGGCCAAGGCCGCGGGCACCAACCGAAAAAGGGAAGGACAACAACAAATCGCGCCCCGCGGCGCGTCAGCACGAGCCGAACGGGTCAAAAAGAAGCGCCAGGTGCGACAAGCCCTGATCGGATTCGTTCACGGCCCGAGCCAGCATGGCGATCGTCGCCAGACGCTGGCCGAGCAGGGGGTCCCGCTCTGCCATCGTCGGCAGGTTGTCCTTGTTGAAGTGCGTGTAGTTGTAGCGCATGAACATAACCATGCTAAGGGCCCTGAACCACCGGAGCGATACGCCCCGCGCGGCTGCAGGCATCATGTCCTCCAAGCAGGACCACAACCGCTCCACTGGGACCGTGCCAGACTGGACGGGGATGCCCGCCTGCCGCGTGGCGAGCGCGACATCCCGCCAGTTCACCAGGCCCTCCACCTTGACGCGGCGGCGCATCCTGCGGAAGTGGTCGCGCACCTTCCGCGTGATGACGCTGCGCACGCCCTTGACGTGGGCGGCCTGCCGCCGGTCCCGCACGATGCCGGTGCGCCACCGTCGCTGTCGGCGCCCCGGTCGGTACCAGTGCTGCACGCGCCGCAGCTCGGCCCTGAACGCCTTGTCGGTGCGGTAATTGCAATACGAGGCGGAGCTGTCCAGCTGTGCACCGCAGAGGCGGGCGATCCGGGCCAGCGCGCCCCTGGGCGGCTGAGAACCGAAGACGCGTTTCCAGGTGCCTGCCCTGGCGCAGCGCGGCTGGGCCAGGAAAGTCCGCACGCGCTCCATGTTATCAGGGTCGAGCGCCGCCTCCCGCCGGAACGTCGGGGGGAGTTGGCTCACGGACCTCTCGAACAGGGCCTCCGCCTCGTGCTCGAGGTCCTCAGGCTGGCCCGCGCCGTCGCCCTTCGGTGGGGGACTCGCCGCCGACAACCGGGTGATGGCGTCCTTGTAGTCCGCCAGGAACACCTTGGTGTCGTTGGCGCTCGCTGGGACGAGCCTCCTGACCTCGAAGACGCAGCGCATAGGCTCTCTGGTGACGACGACGCCGGGCCCGTGCGAGGCCGCCAGGGGGCACGCCCGAGCCTGCCCCTTGGGCGCGTCGGCGTGCACTTGGAAGCGCATGGGCGGGAATTTACTGTGGTACAGCGACCTCAGCAGCTTTCGGTGCTTCCCGTACACGTCTGTGGAGTGGCTAGCGGGCGCTACCGCCTGCGGCGGCAACCCTGCGCTGGAGCGGTTGGCCGCCATCAAGTCGAGCAGCTCTCCCAAGTCTGCCTTATAGATCGCCCGAGGGAAGGCTACCCCAGGCCTAACCCCTAAGCCTACCCCTCGGGCCTAGCCCTAAGGCTACTCTAAGCTTACTCGTAGGGCCTGCCCCTCTGCGCTACCCTAGGCCCACCCCTACGGCCTACCCCTGGGGCTGCCCAAGGCCTTCCCCTCAGGCCTACCCCTAAGGCCACCCTAGGCTTACACTTAGGGCCTACTCCATTGTTACCCTAGGCTTACCCCTAGGGGTGGGCTCCCCAGGGTTACCCTGGGGCTACCCCTAGGGCTACCTACCCCTAGGGGCTACCCTAGGGCAACTCTAAAGGCTACCTTTGGGCTAACCGCAGGGCTACCCTTTGGCTACCCTAGGGATAACCTGAAGCCATAGGTAAGCCCTACCCTCGGCAAGCCTAGCCTTCAGTAAGCCCTGGCCCTGGCCCCTCAGTCCTCACTCCTCGTATTCCTCCTCCCCCTCATCT